TGGCAAGGTGCTTGCCTGGCAGCAACAGGGGTGGCAACAGATGTACACCTCACTGCTGTCAGGTGAGCAGGGGGCACCTTGTTATGGCAGCACAGAGCTCCCAGCAGCAGCAGTGAGCTTCCGTGCCTGGCACCGTTCTACCCTGCTGTGCCAGGTCCCTCCTGCTGGGCACCCACCCTCTCCACAGGCTGTGCTCCAGCCATGCCACTCGTGGGGGAGGGGGAGCCAGGCTCCATGCTCCACTCCCCGCTTGGGCTGCAGCAGCCATTGCCTCCCACACGTGGAAGCCAGGGCTCAGGCACTGCTGTGGGGGCAGGGGGTTGTGGACCCAGGTCCCTGGCTCCATAGCTCTGGCAGCTGGGGGCCTCCTCCGGCAGGGCTGGAGGGTGGGGGGTGTGGGTCACCAGCAGGGCCAGGGGGTTGTAGGTGGGGAGTGAGGGGCACCAGCAGAGCTGGGAGGATGTGGCTTGGGAGTGAGGGGCCTGGACCTGTGTCCTGGTGAGCAAAGGGGGCAAGGGGGACTCTAATTTTCTAGGACAAAAAACCCAAAATCAAATGCCAAAATGTATAGGTATTCAGAATGTATTTTATTATAGTAGCTGAGGCACTGGTAGGCTTCCAAACTGCTTTAAAATTGTCAATATATTTATACAGTATAACCTCATAAATCCAGATATCAAAAATTTGTAATTCTCAAAAGTCCAGCACTTTTTAAACTTCCCCCTCCACTCCTTGAGATGCATAGGGGAAAGTTTGCACGCAGTGGCTGCTGCCGCCATCCACCACCTGGCTCCGCATGCAGCAGCCGCTGCTCCAGGTCCGGCTGGTGCTCCAGTTTCAAAAAGTGGAATTTTCAAATTTCTGGCAGGTGCTTGGTCCCAAGCATGTTGGATTTATGAGGTTATACTGTAATATATATATATATATAGTGGTGTTTCATTTTAATTGTGGATTTGGGGGCTTTTAAATCAGAGAAGTTGAAATTTTTTAGCAGAAAATTTGTAATTTTTTTTTTTATCAGAAAAAAGCAGGATTCCTGTTAGTAAAGCTTTCTGATAAACATTAATGGTTATATATAATCCTGGCACAAATGAAGTGACTGCAAAAGACTTGGGACACTAAGATTGCTCTCTCTTTCTCATTTGTTATTTCCTCTTCAGAATACATCCTTCCTCCTCTGTCCCCACCTTCTTCATTACAAACCAAAATGTACTTTTCAGGCTTAGACAGTAGGTAAATTGGCTAAAATTTGACTCCTGCTCTTTCTTGATTGGTGGGTTCTGATGCTTATCAGATGCACAAACAGAATTACTTTTACTGTAGGCCCATTTTTCACATGTAGGCAAAGGGAGTTATTACTTTCCCTTAGGAGGACTTCCAAGCTCTTAGAGTCCATATTGTTCAAGCTGTTTTCTGCATGTAAGAAAACAGATATTTTCTTTTTGCCCATTCCCTGTTGGTGAGACTCAAAACTAAAGTCATATTTTTTTCTTGCAACTATTGCTCCATTAGGTTCCATTCTGACTTGCTCCTACCTCTACCCTCTGACACCTCTTGCATATACATTTAAATTGCATCAGCACTGATACTGAGAATAAAAGGCTTACTTTATGACCAGTCTTGGCCCCGATAGATAGATAGATAGATAAAAGTTATCAGGACATTTTCACCTGATTTTTACTGAAAAGGGGGTAGGGATGGTATTGTTGAAAAGGAATTCTTCAATTTAGAGGGTTAATGTCCGTAGAAGAAGGGGCATTTGCATGCTATAACTGAATCTGAACACAACCTCTTCAAAAGCTACCTTCACGACTGTAACACAAGACTTCCATTCCCTTTCTGTGGGACTTGTCCTTAACAGATTTAGACATTTTTGAAATCCAAGTCATAGTACTTAGTGTAACACGGGTCCCATTCAGCTTTAGAAAGCTAAGAAGTTTGTTAAATAACAGAAAATTCTACTTTACAATAATATTTCTACATTTTAATGCAAGGCATGAAGTTAATTCAGTTTAGCTTAGGCTCCTGACTTTCTTTGAATCAGTTTCCCAGCATTTAGGGGAAAATATTATCTACTAAAAGGCATTCTTCTTGCTTGGCTATCCAGCTTGATTTAGTATTTTAACTGTCTAATTAGGAAATATCTAATAGCATTTAACAATTTCTTTTGGCACTGCAGGGTAAGCTGCATACATCCTCCAAATTACCCCTCTGCTTGTTTATTCACAGTGAGTAGAACTTACATGAGCAGCCACAGAGACATCACTAGGACTATTTGTGCATGCAAGTATGACTCCATTTCGGAAGTGCAGAGAGAAGTAGTTAGCCATGCTACTCTGAAGTCAGGTGGAAGCAGGGCAGGGTGATACCTTGGAGACTAACCGGTTCAGAGAGGCATAGGATTTCCCAGGAGACAGGCTACTTTGTCAGATGCTATCATAATATATCATAGATGCATAGCCTCTGACAAGGTAGGGTATGGCCTACCGGGTAAGAACAGAGAGTAAAAAGCCTGAGGCTGAATCAATTAGGTTGTTCTAAGCAGGTTAGTATAAGCTGTAGAGATTGAATCAATTTGCAAGTGAACAGATATTCGCTTTTGATTCAGGAAATGCAGGTGCATGCCTTCAGTGGCTCAGCCCAGAAGCTAGGGGATGCTAGAGCACACCTCCCAGCCTGCCAGCTCTGCAGCTTTTCCCCTTTCCCTGCTCCAGTGGAGGGGACATGGTCAAGTCCCAGCCCAGAGATAGCTGGAGGATCTGCCTGGGTAGATGGGTGGGAGTGCCTGCCAGGCTGGAGAGGGTGGCTGGGGGAAAATGTTGTGGCACTGAATTCATAAACGCCTGAACAAGATTAGCCTTTTCTCTGAAGTGAGCATGTACTGAACAGAAGCGAACCACCCTGTGAAGTCCTGCTGGCTGTAATCATGGACTACAAATCCTAGATGCACCTAGAAGCAGGAAGAGGAAGTGATAAGCAATCCTGCAGAGTCCTGCTGCTGGCGTGCAAATCTGAGACTTCAGAGGCAGCAAGAAAAAGTGAACACAGAGCCTATGCTGGGATGCTGGGGGACTCTGATTTAACCTGAATCAGGAAGGGGTCTGGGACAGAAGTTTCATAAACTGGTTTGACTTAAGTCTGATACTACATTCAACTAGGTTTATCTTAAACTAGTTTCAGCTATTTTGAAACTGGCTTATGTGCACTGAATTTCTGTTTTGTTACAGGTTTAAACCAGTTTCTGAATACTTAACCAGTTTCTGTGTAACTTCTGTCCCTAGCCCAAAAGCTTATGCCTCTCTGAACCAGTTAGCCTCCAAGGTGCCACCCCATCCTGGTTTCTTTAGGGCTTCAGAAAGTGCAAGCTCCAGTATTGCCTACCCCACCGTGCCAAAAATTATGAGACAAACTCTTAAAAAAAATCAAGAGATTGGCATGTAAATCATGAGATGCTATTTTTAAAGTGTGTGTGTGTGTGTGTGTGTGTGTGTGTGTGTGCGCGCGCGTGTGTGTGCACGCGCACGTGTGAGGGGTTATTTGTGAAGGTGTGTGTGGAAGGGTGAGGGTGTGTGGGCCTTGGAGCCTGTGGAGGGAGGGTCCCCACACACTCTGGCAGGATGTGGGGTACTGTGGGTCAGGAGTGAGAAGCACCATCAGGGCTAGGCGGGCTGTGGATTGGGAGTGAGGAGCAGACAGAGAGACACAGACACACAGAGATACTGACAGACACACAGACAGTACCCAGCTGGCAAGTGGAAGGAAAGAGGCAGGGGGAGAGGAAAGGGGTTGGGGGGAGATCAAGTCCCCTGCGTTGAGGGAGGGAGTGGGGCAGAAGCAGGGGCAGGGGTGAATGGGACCCCAGGGCTGGGAAGGGGGGTCACCCAGAGGTGTGGGTGGAGGGGTGCAGCTCCCTACAGCAGCACCCACCACCAGGGGAGGCATGGTATGTGTCCTCTGCAGGCCAGAGGTAGGCTGCCTACTGGGCTGGGGCTCTCCACCCTGATGCCTTGCCCCAGGAATTCAGCTGTGCAACCCCAGCGTATCTCCTGCGGCTGGGCAAGCAAGGGATGCGCCACGTGGCCAATGTATCCTGTGCCTAACCAGCAGGTGGCAATGGCATCATGCGGCTAAGCTCCTGGGGCAAAGCAGCAGGGTGCAGAGCTCCAGCCTGCAGTGGGCAGCTCTCCTCTGCCCCACGGGGGACACATGCCCCCATGCCTCCCCCGGGGGTGGGGGTACACTGCTGCAGGGAGACATGTCTCTTTCCCTGCAACTCTGGACGATCCATCCGGGGCCCCATTCACCCCAGTCCCTGCCCCTCACTGCAGGGGCCTTGATCTCCCATCCTCTTCCCTCTCCTATGCTCCTTTTGCTCCACTTACCAGCTAGGAAAATCCAAAGAACTGAGGGTTGGATCGGGAGATCGGGAGTCGGAATTATTTTGACTTCGAAATCCCAAGCCTCATGATGGTTTCGCAGCAGTTGGCATTACTGAATCTCTGGTGGATGGGTAGTATGAAATAAAGCAGTGGTTTACATCTGTGTGTGTGTGTATGTGTGTGCACATGTGTGCACACGCACACACACAGTAGAATTTATTTTGGCTCATCACCAAAATGCTTCTCTTAAAAAAAAAGTTTGGAGTGATTTGAGATTTAAAAGTGTGTATCTCACTCCACTCTTAAGTATCCACCTTCTCCATCCTCCTGGTTAGATAAAGGCAACCAAATGCCCCTGATAAAACAGTGCTCTGGCTACAATATTAGAGGAAAGATGCTGCAACAGCCTGTTGAGAGCATACTCAGTCTTTTAATTAAGGCTATTTTTAAGCAATCAAACAGCCAAATTAGTATCCAATTACACTTGGATTCAGATGAATGTTAAAGCAAGTGTGAAAATGTAGGACTAATTTGGAAGCAGTAGCTGAGGACCTAGAAGATAAAAAAAGAATCTGGGCTGAGGTGGGTCAAATGGATGATGTGTGTACCTTTATTTTACAGACTATATCACAATAAGGCAATATCCTGACACAGCATACATCAAATATGGTACATCTGCACTCCTTGCTTGTATGTTTGACTTCCAGTTTCTCTCTCATGCTGAAATTGAAGTCTACTGGAATCTGAAGCTGGTTCTATTAAACGATACCCGGAAGAAAATAACCGTGTATTCAAGCATGTTACCTTTAAACACAACTGACATATTCTTAGAAAAGGCTGGTAAATACAGATCTGCAGGCAACATTCAGAAGGGCATAGTCTTCTTGGAAGTGATGAACCTTCAGCCTCAAGACACTGGAGCATACACCTGCAACGTGGCTCGCCTAATGCCGCCTCCATATCTGGAAGGAATCAGCAATGAAACTTACCTGTGGGGTAGGATTTTGCAAAGCTTTATTTTGAAACCTTTTCCCCGATCTAAAACTTAAAAATGCCAGACCCGTAAGGGTACAATACAGCACCTGGAGTGCTATTGAAGCATCTGAGTTTGCCAAAATACACCACACAATTCTGTTCCACAGGGAAAAATTAAAGAACATTTCATACCATTAAGATACCTTTTGCCAAAACACATCAACTAGCTAACACAATACATACTATTTGATACACATATTCTTTCCTTAGATTTTGGACTTACCCTAAGTCAGGAAAATACTTAATTGTAAACGTAATCCAAAATTTTATATCAAGTTCCACAAGGATGGAAGCTCCATATTTATATCACAGAACTGATACCATCATGAGCTTTCCACCTGGCCAAATCTTGGGGCTATTTTAGTGTAACACTGCCCTCTGGTGACTGGCTTATAATCAAATTTTACTGATGCCTTACACTGAGATTTGGTTAATTACCTAGCACTCAACTTTCAGTAATGTTACATTTAAAAAGGGATTTTCACTTACCTTGAGCAGTACAGATTTGCATTTTGGAAGCAAAAATCCCATCCCCTGTGCAACACCCATGTGCTGTAATAGATAAGAGATGGTCATTTATATGAAGCCATGGCTTTATAATATCCTGTTAAGGTCACTGTGTGATTAATAACAACCCATAGTCAGGAGAAGATCCAGCAGGAGGTGCACTGCTGCACTTGCACTGCTACTCCCCTTTGATTCCTGGTTAATCCAAAGTTTAAAACCAACTGTGTGGCAGAGGCAGTAGCATTTCTAGTCAGGCAATACTAAGGGAATCACTTGACTTTGTGGCTCATTATAATCTACCTGATCCTTCTAAACTCCACAGGTATTAATGATCCTTTTCTTCATGTTCCTCCAATCAAGCTAGCCTTTGTTCTGCAATTCTGCTGTCTGTTAGCTGCTCCTAGTAACGAAGCAACTATTTCACAGCCCTGCAGATTGTTTTTAACTCATCCCAATGAAGTGATATTTGTTTGTGCTTCAATCTTAAATGGAATAACAAAGCCCTAGGCCCACAGAGTGTTAGTAATGCTTCTAGTTTATTGTTAACTGGAGAAAAATATTGCTAACACCATCTTAGTTATGTGCTGATGTACCTCACTATCTGCACCCCCATTTTCAAAATTCTAGTTCCATCCATGCTGAAAGTTATTTATTCTAGTAATAATTTAGATTTTTTGTTGTAATATAAACGAGATGTTTTTAAAGACAAAATAGAAAACAAGGTATGATCTAGTGGTTTTCTATAGGTGAACAAAAAATGAAAGGTTCTTTCGAAGACTACACTTTTTCACCTGCTTCCTAATTTGAAAGCCCCATTTGAGATAATGACACCTTTTCCCACCATGCTAATATCCAAGGTGGTCCTTGAATTTTGATTGCCTTGTTTACACACACACACACACACACACACACACACACACACACACACACACACACACACACACGGCTGTCCATAGTGTGCAGCAAATTGGGGCAACTGCCTTGGCCCCTGCTCTTTGGGAGCCCCCACGGAGCCAGGTCAAGAGGCTGTGGCCCCTCCCCTGGGGCCTGCCTGGTGCTGGCAGCTCCACCTCGCGCCGTGGAAGAAGTGCAGAGACCCCCCTGCCCGGGTGCGGGGGAGACCCCAGCCCATGACCTGCCTTTGTGGGGGGACTCATGGGCCCTGTGCAGTGTTAAGGGGGCCTTGCACAGGCTGATTTGCCAGGCCGCACACCCCCTAGGGTTGACCCATATATAATATAAGCATACATTTGAATGAATAGCTCAAAGAAACTTGAGGGCAGCTGCTTCATATCAGAACCAGGATTCATTTTCAACTATAATTCTTTATGCTTAGGAATTGAAGATAAGCTGGAAGCTTCTTTCAAGCCACTGGAAAGTCACTTTGTCATCTGTATAGGAGCGCTGGCAGTTTCTATGATCGTGTGCACCATAATTTGTATATGGGTAAGAACTCCATTTCAATTAATATATTTTCCAGAACAACATAGCAGCCTTTTGTTTTCAAGCAGGGTTCTGTTTCTATTCATTTTTTGCCCCTGTGTGTACAGAACTACAAATACCAAGGTCATGAACTGACACACCCAAAAAAGAGTGTCTCTTGGAGACATGTCTAATGCACTCATTCTGATAAGCAGCTAACTGGAGGGAAGAGGAGAATAGGCAGATCTTCATCCCAAATTGACCCGTTCATGATTTGTAAGAATTTTATTAACTCCCAAAAAATTAATTTCGGAAAACCTGCATTTATGTTGTTTAACATGTTTACATCAAGCCCCTGAACTTGGGTAGGTTCCTAGGAAGCAGAGCCAAAATAGTTTCATTTCAAGCAACCATGCAGCACAAAATGTTTTTTCATCATTTGAGCCTAAAGGCAAGTGGAAAAATCAGGTATTTGGGCCAATTTCCACTTGGATTTGGGGCACAGTACCACTTTAAAAGTCACCAAGAAAGAACAATGGGAGCAAAAACTACATTTCAGCAGCCAACCAACTATGAAATGTCTGCTCCTATAAAAACTTAAGTGACTTGCCTGAGGTCATACAGGAAGTTCGCAGGGACGTGAAACAAACATTTGGAATGCCTAGTTTAATTGACTTAATTTTGTTGCATCAGTTAATAATGGAAGCATGGTTATTTCCTTCCGACTATAATGAATTACATGTCACTCTGATAAACAGCAAGTGTCTACTCAAAATGTCATCTTTCGTCGGAACCAAAATGCAATTGCAGGGTATTGCATAGCTGTGCTTTCCACTTAGTGAGTTTAGCAAACAGCAGAAACAACAAAATCTTTTCAGAAAAGCTGCTCCTCAGTGGTGCATCCAAGCCATGGGAGCAAGACAGATTAGAAAACCCATAAGAAAATAATTCCACGTGAAATCTCTACTAGATTTCTTGAGATCAGGATAAACTTCCAAAGCTTGGGTTGGCTAATCTGAACAGAAACTTTCAAATGCTTTACATTATAAATTGAAAACCAGGATCTCATAGGTCCAGGTCCATTTTTTTCTCCTTCAAGTCAGGCATCTGCTGTCTTTCACATTTAATTCCTTTCTTAATCGCATTGTTTATATCCAAACAGTTCAAGAGATTATTCGTCTTTGGGGTTTATTATTCTGCCACTTGCTACTCCCAAAGTTACCGAATAGGTGCCCTTGTGACACTTTAGGAGATTAAATATTTGAGTTAGTAACTTTTTAAAACCATTAATCATTTTGCCCCGATTAAAAAAAGAAGTCATTTGCTTTTTCTTCCTTGCATCTAATGAATTGCAAATTGGACTGAAAAGCACAACACAAAAAAGCATCTGGATGAAGAAAGTGGAAGAGGCTGCAGATCTGACTGACAGCCTTGATGTTCAACCCAGAAATCAAAATGTAGGTCTGAGCAGCAGGGGCTGACAAGAATCTGGGCTCCAAACTCATCATATACAGCAGTCACACACTTTTTAAAACTCTCGCTATAAATGATTCCCCACCTTCCACAAGATAATAGCAATCCCTTAGTTAGTTCTACTGGCCCTCTTCTTGTAAGAAAAACTAAATTTACTATCATATCTGTAAGGCAGTTTTAAAAGCCTTTGAACTTTTTGTCTATGTTTATAAAGCACCTAGTACATTATAGGTGCTTCTGCAAGTTAAATAATTATCAGCTTTTTAGATGGGGTAAATTTAATACTGTATCAAGGATAATTTGATGGCTAATATGTTAAAGGAATATCTTCTAGAGCAGGGGTCCCCAAACTGTGATCTGTGTACACAAGACATCTCTCGGGGGTATGAGGGAAAAAATGTGTAATGGTGGATTTAATTTTCATAATAATAATAATGGGCATTTAAGGGGTTAAAATATAAAACGTATGCTGGAAGGGGTATGAAGGCAGCTGCTAAATCTGAAAGGGTGTACACAATAAGAAAAAGTTCGGGAACCTCTGTTCTAGAGGACTACCAAGCATATCAGTTGATGAGGGTATAGATAGCTATAAGCATCCTAGCAGTTAGACTTATAAAAATGAGTGAAAAAAATTACTACTGCTTTATTAACCCTTTGTATTAACTATATAAGTATGCCTTTAATATGCAGCATGATCTAAATGACAAGAGGTCCAAGAAACTATTCTCAATAAGAGCTCTCTGACCTCACCTGTAATGTTACTGCAGCCTGTGGTACAGAGCGCTTGAGTGTTTACTCAGCATCACACTGAATTTGTTGGCTCCTAAAAGGGTCTCTCAAGACACCAAGAAAAATACACAATATGCTTTTTTCTGTCTCTTTTTGTTAGTGCCTTGAATTGCACCTCGACGTGCATCTTCCCTGCTCAGTAAACCTCTGCTATTCTTCCTCCCCCAATTGGCTGTATTCTAGTGTTGCCTTTTCCTCTCTTTACTTTGGATCCATACCTAAAGGAAATGCAAAAGAAGATGATGATTAGGAACATCAGCTCATGACAATGAAGAATCCAAATTTTTCAAAGGTTGCCAATTTAAATTGAGAGGCTGAATTATGTCAGTGGAATACTGGCTAGCTGAGAAACTTCAGGATTCTTTTACATCAAGTTTCTTTCCTTTTTTTAAAAATAAAGGGCACCTACAAACATGCAGTGAGGCTGCTCCAATGCGCTGTAATTACCATGCTCCAGCAGACTTCAGTATCATGTGTATCAGTATCTCCATGCTGAAAAATGGCAGCAGGGGCACTTTAGCTAAAGCTCGTTTGATTTCTGAAAAGAAGTCCACAGATTGGGTTTGGACCAAAACTTCAGATCCAACCCCTGCAATAACCTTTTCAGGATATTTGAATCATTAGTTTGGACCTCTTTCTCAACCCCTCTATTTTATATCACTATAGGGTGTACGATGTGTGATTGAAGCTTACAGGACTTCATTTACATCCAGTGCAAAACAGAACTACAGACAATGTTGATATATGGAGTCCCAAGTTCCACTTGAAACATTATTACATTATATATCAGTTTTATGTCAAAGGGACTGATGTTTTTACAGCCCCTCCATTCAGAGTAATGGGTCTCTACTCACAGGGGCTTCATAATTTGAATGGAGGGCATCTTTTAGATTGACAAAGTGATTTATAAATGTTGGATCATGAATTGAGAATAGTTATGTAAATCAGAAATGTTTCTTGAAGTGAAAATAGCTGTTGTTTTTCTTTGTTGAATGAGATCTGTGTGTTCTTTGGAGGAATGATTTAAATTCGTAATCCCCAGCACTTTCATGGGAATAGCATTATGCTAATGAAGCCTATTATCGATTCGTAATCCTACCTAATTAAATTTGAGCAACGGTTCTTTGCGTAAAGACATATGTAGCTTAATTTCCTTTGTGACTCACTGCCATGCTGTGGCCTACAGAGGGTCTCACTCTTTCCCATTCACACACACACAGGAAAAATTTAAATAACAAAAACGCCCACCTGCCAGGTGCCCCTTCCCTTAGTTATAATGAGCACTTAACATTAACACTTGTTCAACTGCAATGTAATTTGCAATGTTTGTATCTTACATGGCCAGCAAAGTCTCATTATATCATAGTCAGATAAGGTTGGACATGAGTGTTTTCATCATGGCAACAACGTAAATGTTATAGAAATAGCCATTATGTATAAGCTAGTTTACTAGACTATTTCATCAGTGGATTATGTGAATGGGAAGAACAGAATATTTCAATCTCTTATGTAGCCTATTTTACCCTTTGAGAGCATGAGCACTCTGATGTGGTAAAAGACCACCCTGCCTACATTTCCCATCAGACAAGGGCCATGACCTAGGGGAAAAAATATGTACAAAGGTCCATGTTATTATTTTGTTTCTAATACTTCACACAGGGTAGTGGGCAGATACCAGCCAATGATCATACACCCCGTTATTATAAGATATGAAAAATCTAATAGGAAACAAACAAGTAAGACAGGAGAAGGAAGCTTGCATATTTTGGTTAATAATGTATATGCATATAATAATAAAACAGTTTGTGGAAACCACCAAATCACTCTTCGGGGGGTGGGGGGACACTGATAGTTGTATTGTGAGAAAATACACATTTCTTAATAGTGCACAGTGATTATTATTATTTTAATGTGAGCAGTATTATATTGATGAGCTCCTTAACTTTGTTTCCCTGTTTCTGTGAGCTTGACATTTTTGCTGGTTGTCATTCAGCAACATTATCTGGTTTTCAAAATAACCTCCCCCCACTCCTCCCAGGTATATCATTTTCTGGGATATTTAAAAGTCAGCAGGACTGATAATGCAACACTCAAATGTGGTTCACTTATTCATACACTTCTGACAGCTTATGCAATTAAGTCTTATGTAACATTTTCTTTCCAGGCTCGAAGAAAGTCTTCCCCAGAAAGATCTCAATCAATGCCAACAACAGAATCCATGGTCTATATGGATATGAATTTTGCAAAGCAAAAAACCAACAGTGAAGGGTGACAGACCCATGGGACACTTTTCAGAGCACTGGGTGCATCTACATGTTTGTTAATGTGCTTTTGCTAATGTGCATTAAATTTAGTACCTCTGGGCATTCTTACACATGCAAGCACCACAGTGCCTGGTGCTGTGATGCTTGCAGTTGTATAAGTGGCAAAATGCATGCCAGCACTGAGAAAATGGCAGCGGTGCACTTTTGAACTAAAACATAGAAAGTACTTTTGTTCAAAAGTGGACTGCTGCCATTTTCTGTGTGCTGATGCGCATTTGGCTGCTTATACAACTGCATGCAATACAACACAGTGCACTTCCTTGTTCTGTTCATTAGATACTGCGTTTCTGTTCACCACTTGTCTTTAACTTTATTCAATGCTGCTGTGAACCATGAAACATATTATCCCCAAAGTAGTATAGGTTGTGGATACACATACATTTGGAGCCATTTCAAAACAGCAGTAGCTAGTATATTCTAAACCGGCTCTAAATGTATCTGTGTCTATACCTTGAACTTTCACCTCCTCAAACTATAGAAGTTACAGCTCTAAAATGTGAGGGTACAAGCAGACATAATGAAATGTATTGATCTTTTGATCTTAAAGGATACTGATATAAGCAGTTACAGTGCAACTGTTATATTTACATGTTCCTGTAGCTATATAAGTGTAGCAAAAACTACTGCAACTTGAACTCCATTTCATTCAGGTCAAAGTTGGATCAATTTAGCTCACTTGTATCACTATGGTATCCTTATAGAAGGTGCATGCTCCCAAGAGGCATCTCCCCCCTCCCTTTATAAAGGGGTCGAAAGGTACATTTGTTCATACCCTAAGGGTTATTAGAAGATCATGAAGTGCTGCACTTTCCCCCCAATCTCATTAGGAGAATACATAGGATTTGACACCATCCAAAATGACAGCTAGTTCTATAATCCCTATTATAGTCATATAAAAAATAGCATTGGCAAACGTAACCAGGAATTAGCATGGTTATTTGAATGAAGTAAATCCATTCTATTTTGCATTTAATTTCTATGCTACTTATTTTGTCTGTGTAGTTTTAGTTCTACTCCTCTTTTGCATACATTTGCATTCCTAAGTGTCAGCAAAGAGAAAAAGAACATACACTAAAAACGTTTTAAAAAAATCAACTTCTCTAAAAAGTCTCCAATGCAATCATCTGGTGGCCTAGATCTGGCCCATGGGCCATATTTTGCCCGCCCCCAGTTAGCTGAATGCAAACATCACTACAGTAACCTCCACAGGTGACATGTTGCTTTCTGTGCTTGAGGGTCACAGACAAATTTGTTCTTTGTGCCCACCTTTATGGAACCAAACTACAGTAGTTATCCAAACACTACCAACAAGAATAGAGATACGATCATGGACCTAACCAATTGCAACACAATACTGACATATTTTTAAGATCACTTGGTCCCTGAGTTACCTGTATATCAACTGCACTCGGAAGCACTATTTGTTCTTAGGTTTGTTTGAATCAGAAAAGGATACTTGACCAAGGGAAACAATTTTAGGCTATATCCATTTCACATAGGAACCAATACTTTGTCAGATGGTAAGGAATTCATTAGCTCTCATCCTAAGTCATGTTCAAACCAGCCAGGTGAAAAGCTATTACCCGGGGTCCTGCTGGGGCTGCATGAGAAGTGATCCTGCTGGGAGGATCTTGGCTGGCAGCTGCAGCGTGGCTCTGGGTGGCCCAGATCTGCTTTTCAGTGGCAAGCACTGTCCATGTGCGTGCTGCTCGATTTTTTTCCCCACAGGTTTTTTTTGGCTCCTGAATATCCAGCACAAAGAACACCTGACTGTGCGGTATGTGGCACTGCAGGCATGTTTGCAGTGCCACATACTGCACAGTTGTGCTCATCTGGACGTGTCCATAGAATCATAGAAAATGAGGGTTATAAGGGACCTCAGGAGGTCATATAGTCCAAACCCCTGCTGAAAGCAGGACCGGCCCCAACTAGATCATCCTAGCCAATGCTTTGTCTAGCCAGGTATTAAAAACCTCCAATGATGGAAATTCCACCATCTGTCTGGGTAGCCTGTTCCACTGTTTTACCACCCTTCTAATAAGAAACTTTCCCCCTAACATCTAACCTAAACTTCCCTTGCTGCAACTTAAGACCATTGTGCCTTGTTCCATCATCTGCCACCATTGAGAATAGTTCAGGCTCCATCCTCTTTCAAACCCCTCTTCAGGTAGTTGAAGGCTGTTATTAAATCCCCTCTCAGCCTGCTCTTCTCTAGACTAAATAAGACCAGTTCCCTCAGTCTTTCCTCATAAGCCATTTCCTGCAGCCCCTGAACCATTTTTCTTGCCCTCTGCTGGACTCTCTTCAATTTGTCTATATCTTTTCTGTAGTGGACATAACTGAAACTGTCCACTGCACAACTGTAGTGCCTAAAACTGAACCCAGTACTCCAGATGTCACCTCACCAGTGCTGAATAGAGGGGAATAATCACTTCCCTTGACCTGCTGGCAGCACACCTACCAATGCAGCCTAGTTTGCCATTAGTCTTTTTTGCAACAAGGGCACACTGTTGGCTCTTATTCAGCCTATTGTCCACTGTAACCCCCGGGTCCTTTTCTGCAGAGCTGCTGCCCAGCCAGTCAGCCCCCAGCCTGTACTGTGCATAGGATTGTTCTGTCCTAAATGTAGGACTTCGCACTTGTCCTTGTTAAACCTCATGAGCTTCCTTTTGGCCCAATGCTCCAATTTGTCTAGGTCACTCTGAATCCTAGCTCTACCCTCCAGCATATCTACAACTCCCCCCAGCTAGGTGTTATCTGCAGACTTGCTGAGGGTGCTCTCTGTGGTGGGTGCAGAGATCCCACCTCAGGAAAACAGCTGGGTATTCGTATCCTACCGCTATTTCCACCACATGAGGCGGGCCAGTAGGGGGTGCTCCTGCATTGAGCCGCCCACCACCCTGCGCCCGACCACCTTCCAGGCTCCGAATGCCTCCCTAGGGGTGCCTTATGTCCAGCCAACCCCTCTCCTGGAGGACACTCGCTAGTCTGGGGGTAACGTGCTGCCACCACCCTGAGAGTGGACTGTCTCGGTCCTGTATCCTTGGGGAAACACAGGCCTAATAGTCCTACGGGTACTCGACCCAATACAGGCACTTGGGGCACTTCCCCAAGTC